TCTACTGCATGTTGTACGGCGTCACGATCACCACAGCAAGGACATCGCGGTTGGTCTTACTTACAGAACAGGCATCGGTGGGTCGCGTATTCTCAGGCGGCATTGTGTTACCTCCTCCTGCCTCACCTTACAGCAGCTGGACGCCCATGGCCCAAACCGGGGCTTTATCTCTCTTAGTTTGTTGGCAGCATGCGCATCCCAATTTTCTTGCCAGTGTTTGTGCGTGAATGCAGACACTACTACGTGCAGGTCATGAGCAGGACTGTCGCTGTGGGAATGCGAGTTGTGTGTGTGACACACCTTGTTGCAGCATCAGCTAATCATTACCCGACGTGTCGGCGTGGCTCGGTATCCAGCAGGATACCACCTGCTTCCCATACCCGAACAGTGTAATGTAATGTAATAAGAGGAGTTAAAATGTTCTGAACGATAGGGTGTGGTCAATCGAAAACCTGGAGTGCCATAAGGTTACTAAGAGTCCGGTAAAGCTAATCGTTGATCGTCACTATCAACCTATATGCAATGACCTGCTTTAACACGCTCCCGGGTGGCCGGCTAATACCCTTCACTCGGGTGGGGTGGGGGTGGGGGGTGGGGGGTCAGTTTGACCCCTCTGAGATCTCATGAAACTAAGAAGGCTAGAGACACTAAAGCGTGTGTATTGTAGTGTATTGTATTGTATTTAACGTGTATTGAACTGTACGTGAATTTACTTAGGTCAAAGTTCCAGGTTCCTAGGCTACGACCTTGGGGCCAAAAAAGGTCAAACAAGGTCATGTGCCAGGTTGGTCTCCAAGCGTCCCCAGAACCTAGATAACCGCTTCTAAGCAAAAGGTCACATTCTCATTCAAGGTCAGTGACCTTGTTTGACCTTTTGAAGGTCAAGATGACCAAAACCATACAAGATGCCTTGAGTTTTGCATTTGACTAAGCGGCAAAGATTACGCTAGGCGGTAAGTTCCTAAAACAAAATGTTGACCTGGGTCATATTAGGTCAATAGCCTATTCTGACCTCTGAGAAGTCCGTTGAAAATGTATAATGCGGTTCCTGCTATCAATGAACTCGAAATGAGCACCAGAAACTATCCCATACAGCAAACCCTAGAGTAACAAAACAAATTGGTTTCGACCTTGGTGTGACGCTCATATTTGCCCTTAGGTCAATGTAGTTTGCGTATTCAACTGTCGTGTTGCCTAAGAAAGCCTCTTAGAGATATATTGCTTCGTCTAATACTCAGCTGTTGGATCAGATTGAAGGATTCCCTAGAAATTGCCTTCGCTAAAACCATGGCCTGACTTCGACCTGCCATAGGTCAGCGACCTCACAAAGCACATATAAATTTGTTTGCCAAACGATCCGCTATTCTTGTCTACAGTTGTGTAAAATTTGGCGCGGCTACGCCGCGCCGTTCGGAAGCCATTCTGTAAAAACTTTCGGGGAGGGTCAATTTGACTCCCCCCCCCACCCGAGCGCGTGTTAAGAGTGGCTACTAGCTCGGACGTGTAGACCGATGCATGACAAAGCAAAAGACCGTGCGACAGGACCCTGCACCAATTCACATCCAACACCGGCATTTGCTTTCGGTCTGTCCGTATAGGTCTTCTCGTGATCTGAGTATGACTGGATCATTTCCAATAACCGCGGCCGGAACTCGTCCGGGGCACCTGCTTCTCACGAGCTGTGAAAATGATACATCTCCTGCTGGTGGTTGAGCTTCCAAGGACGAGTCGCAGGAATTTCCCAGCGAATCACATCCCGTGTGCCATCCCTGTAAAAGTACGAACATCCTCACAGAGGAAGGTGCAATCCGATGAGCTCCCCCAGTCAGAAATATGCGAATCTGCACTGCGCGAAAAGATATGCTTATATGTTGGGTGATCGGGGAACTGTGTCAACTTATAGGTGCATCCCATGTCCAGTAACTTTCTCCTAGCGTGCAAAGGAGGCTCGTGGGCCTCAACAAGGAGGTTCGCTGTAGATGAGGTCCTGAATGCGCCTGTCGTGATACGTAGGACAGTATGATGTATTGTGTTCGAGGAGCGTTTTACTTACATACAAGCCCCGTCATAAATAAAGAAGCTAATCGAGCTTGGAGCTGATATGGAACCACATTAGAGCAAAAGCGTTCTCCTGTCCGCACCATATAACGTGCGTACAATGCATTTCAGGACGCCCAGGGTTTAAAAACGCTCAGCTCGCATAACCCTCATATGGTCTTTGTAGGTTAAGCGACGACCAAATTGCACGCCCATGAAAGAATCGCAGGCTCAAATGGAATCGCTTTGCCTTACAGTCGAACAGTTACATACTGGCACATCACATCGCTACATCCTGATCACATCGGCGACAAAAAGGCATAGCTACTGTTTTTAACGTGGAAAATAAAAAACATTGAGCAAAAGTAGGTCCCCGCGCGTTGCTGTCACAACCCCAAAAGGTATAATGTGCGTTAACTCTCCTAAGATACTCCAAGTCGGAGGGAGCTCCGCCTCCAAATGACGGAGCTCTACCAATGAAAGACTGAAACCCGGCGGCAGGTACGCTGAACACAAGGTTACTAGATAATGGCTAAAATGTACACGTGCGGCAACAGCTTGGAGCGAGGTTCATAGCACCAGGTGCTGGGCAGGTACACTGCACAGATCTACCTTGATGGTCCCCCGCACCCCTGGATATTCAGGCCAAAGTGTTTTGTTGGGACGCACCACGACTACCACGCACGGACGCGCTGCTCAGCGACCAGGATCCCGATCAACCCGTGACGTGGGCGAAATGCGTGCGAGCACATACGGTACGAACGCGGATTTTCATTGTGTGAGAAGCTCAGCCAGCTGCACTAAGCTGAACACGACGTCGCATTTTCCTCTTTCTTTGTTCCTTCTACCCGTAAAACAATAAAAAGAAAGCTTCTCTAAAATTTAGATAAGTTTAATCTCCCGCTTTAAACGCCAGCGTGTACCCTTGCTTCCACATATTTGGGGCGGGGGCAAACCTTCGGTTGGGGGGAGTAGACGGACATGGGGGGGGGGGGGGGGCAGTGGGCCACCCAGAAGATAAGAGATCGACAGACGTGGCCTGTTTGAATCGACGCCTCATTCTACCCAAAAGGTAAATTGTAGATACAAACTTGCGGCCCGCTACATAATATGGGGGTACAGCTTACCGAACACAACTACCCGCATGCTGGTGTTTTCTCGACGCCAGGGAGAAGAGCTAGGCGAATCCTACGATACCCAAACTGGTGCTCAAGAAGGGGGGGGGAGCGGGCTGAATCGCTGATTTTGGAAGTCAAACATTTTATACAACAGGCCGATAGCTGACGCTTTTCGAGTATCACAAGGCTCCCGGGAAGGGAAACTGAGCCCCACCCACCTCCCTCTTCAATGGCGCCCCCCCCCCCCCCCCCGGCACGTTCCGTGACCTAGACCCACGCTTTGTAGGCATCGGTGGTTCAGTGGTAGAATGCTCGCTGCCACGCGGGCGGCCCGGGTTCGATTCCCGGCCGATGCATCTTTAGCTAAGTTGACTCTGTTGTTAATCCTGCAGCAGTATTATCAACACAAGCGGAAACGCACGTGTTCTGCCCCACAACGCCGGTGTTGCGTGTCCGTTACAGCCGCAGCAGCTGCCGCAGAACACACAACACTGGCGGCGTTGCGGTAAGTTATGCTGTTCCCGCCACGTCCTTGCGCAGCGATATAATCATGGGATAGATCATGAATCATGATCTATCGGATAGATCATGATATTAAGAGGCCTTAACGGAAACATGTGACACTTGAAATATTGAAGCAAGCATCAGATATGACGAAACCAGCTCACTTATATAACTATTGCACACTTTTGGAGTGGGAAAGAAAGTCCCAGACAGCGCAAGTCTCTTCTTAGTAGATACGCTCCTCAATGAGTCATAAATTGATTACGTCATCGTACGATGCACAACGTTGATTGAGAGCCAATTCCCGGCCGTTATAGCTGAAAGTCGCGCTGATAAACGCCAGACATGAACACCCAACATTATTTTCCTTAATCGCCGCATGGCTTACCATATGGCAGGATTTTATTGACGCTGTTATGACGTCATGGAGGCCAAGGTGACTTTGAAACGCACTCACCATTTTCTCGGACGTTTAGCTCAGAAAACAGTGGGGCTTAGGTTTTTAGAGGGGCAAAGTTGTCAACATCACCGAAAGGCCTTCAAAATGTTCATTGCAGTCCAAAACCCCATGCAGATGTGTAACACACCTTTTAATCCATTGCCATTGCCTGCCTGTGCAGGCCTTGTATCCAACAGAGGGAAACAGTGCGTGACATGTCTTCATACAAAATACAATGTAGGGGGAGGGGGGCGGGGACGGAACGACACCGCGCCCTAAAACGGTTGCCTTTATTGCCTGGGAGGACCGGACTACATCCGCAATTAATTCAATTCAGACCACTTCATCATATGCGCGTACAGATAACAGAGCACAACAGGCCACATGCAGGTGTCGTCTGAGACCACACAACATTCTTTTTGCAGGAGATACGAACTCACGCTTAACGTTTTTCAATGTGTTTTTCATGCACCCAAACAGGCGCGTATCTCGCACCCACCAGAGTGGATGCCCCCCACCCTGTGAAAGTAGAATTGCATTGCTGATGAGGTGGCGATGTAGGGCAGAAATTGTGGGCTGGATCAAGAGCAAGCTTTTGAAGGGGGGGGGGGGAAGAGGTGGTAGGTGGGCTTGTTAGAAAGGTGCGAGGTAAATTGCATTTACAAGTGCCAAAGATCACAAACCTAAATGTACAATGGTGGCGGGTAAAACCCGCACCCAGCGTTAGGTGTTACGATAGGCCAGACAATGATGCATGGATCAGCATAAATGATAAATCAAGTAAAACATGCTACTAATGGGTCCGTACGATATTGTCCAAAGATAGAGAGTGTCAGAATGGTACAAGGTACAGAATGAATACTGATATGTTATGTTCAATTAAGTGTAGCTGCCTCCGGTAGTTACTCTTTTGTAGCTCCGCTCCTGGTCTCGACCCCAGCTGGCGGCCGCTCCTGGCTGGCAAGTACCCGCTCCAGCATGGGGGCGAGCCGCTCCTTCCATTGCGCCGCTTGCTCACACTGCTGCATCATCAGTGCCTCCGAGCGTCCGAGCTGCTCGCCGTCACTCATCCCTGACGCGAGTGGTCCAGCACGGCTGCAACGTAGGTCACTGCGTCTTAACGAGGTGTCACGCACACAACCCATTATGCAACCAGACCGCACCGTGCTCTATTCTGACGGGCTGGACCTCGGCTCAGCTAGTCTATTTCATCATGACGGCGATCCACACGCGTGAGTGTCTAGATGAGTGGTTACCGCCCCGCGGGATAGGGCATGAATCAGCTGATGACCCGTCAGCTGACCTGGCTGCTCATGTGAGCCAGTGCCGGAAGGTCTTTATGATAACACCAGCGGCTTGGCCGCCGGAGCCGCTGGAGCCGCCGGAGCCGCCGGAGCCGCCGAACCTCCCCAGGCCGCTGGAGCACCCAGAGCCCCCAGAGCCGCTAGGGCCGCTGGAGACGTCATGGCCCCCGGTGCCCCCGGTAGTAGCCCAGGCAGCCCAGGCCGCAGCCCAGCCCAGGCCACCCAGAGCCGCCAGAGCCGCCCAAGCCGCTGGACCGCCCAAAGCTGCCGGGGGAAGCGGGTGCTCCCGGAGCTGCCCGAGCGGCCGGAGCGACCCCGGCCGCTGGAGTTGCTGGAGCCGCTGGAGCCGCCCCAGCCACGAGAGCTCCCGAAGCCGCCGGTGCCGCCAGAGCTGCCCAGGCGGATGGAGCCGCCCCAGCCACGAGAGCTCCCGGAGCCGCCGAGGCCGCACCATCTAGGGGCCACGATACCCCCAACCCCCGCTGGGGGCCACGATGGCCTGTGGAACCAGCCCAGGCCGGGAAGTTTAAGCGAAATTATCTGTCGTAGAGAACTTATAGTTTATTTGTTAAAACCGCGTTGTACAAAATCGTGTTATATTGGATTCCGATGACGCGCATGAACCATTTGTTTCCATAAACTTCAAATGTTGGAAATGATTCTTATTTATCCAAAAAGCAAGATTCGTCTGAACGCGAACCACTGACTAATGGATAACACTAGCCCAAAACAATTTCACTTGTAAACCGCTGACTCAAGTTTTGACATAACAAATCAACGGGGGTGCATAAAAGCAGCGAGTGTTTTTTTTTTTAGAAACTTGATCCGAACTTTAATGGATGGATTTCTGGGATCAGTGCTCACGCTAAGCAGTGCTTGTTGTGTGAGCCCTGACCCCTACAATCCGATCGCGCAATTCCAGGCAACGGCAGAATTTAGTGGCGAAAGCTTAACGTGCCGCAATGCTCGGCACGGTCCGTCCTGCCCTCTGACGTCAACTGACCTTTAGCGCGACCGCTGCCACCGGCCGCAGGCCATACCTGCCAAGGACAAACAGCGAGCGCCTAAAGCGACTCGAGCCCACCCCGCCACGGGTGGGTGAATCGGGAGACAGGCGCTCTGACCAACTGAGCCACCGGGACGGGACGGACTGGTTACTGACAAAAATAAAACTGTTTGTGTGTAATGTATTGTCGGAGGCGTGTTTGCAGCGCTCGGATACTGACGGCCTCATCTGCACGTAAATAATAGCGAATGCTTATCGTGATGAATCGCACACAACTGGTGATCATGTGAAATTCTGTAGTTGTTTCATTTCAACGCAGCAAGTGAATAATTTAAAACATGCTAGGCTATGAATGCTGATGTGTTGCTCCCTTACCCCGTAGGAATGTCAGACATGCCTGCAGTCTGCAACAGTCAGGTCCGCCGGGGCGCGGTTCTGCCATGCCTCCATACCGACGGCTGCGTGCGGTGCCTGTGAACGATCCAGGCGCGGCCGGCCGGGAAGCAGGCGAGGTACCTATTCTGCCGAGGACGCTTCTGGAAGCATCCCGGAATATTTTTTTTTTTGTAAATGCGGATGGATGTGTTGTTACGGCATACCAACGTTTTTTAAAAAATATATATCTGGAAAACGTGCATGACTATGCACATCCGTTGCTACATAGGGGGGGGGGGGGGAGGGGGCGGAGGTGTAAGGAAACTAGAAGATACTGGGAGAATGCCGTCACTTAGCGAGGCGCAATGCAATGGAAGAAAAAACGTAAGCAAGTCACCATTGTTTCTGAGCATAACACCACTGGAGAAGAGATGATATGCACAAAATGTAATGACAAGTACACAATCATTAATCGAGGCGTGATCGCAGCTTGTCATTGACACGAACGACACAACAACGCATGGTCAGCCATACAGATGTTGCTCAAATCCGGTGCTGGACACGTGTTGGTGCGGAGATCACACCTGCATTGTTAACAACCTAGGACAACTTAACAATTTAACCTAAGCTCGTTTTTTGACCACGATGGGATGAACCGATTGCTTTCGTGTAGTTGTTGTAAAAAATACCCATCGATGCTTACAACTGCATCACAATTGAAATATATCTGGCATTTTCCCAGCAATGTGGTTGCGAAATTCCTATTGACTTATCCTATTGAAGTTGCTTTGATTCTTTTTACACCTTGGACACCATCAAAGTACACTTTGAAAATTGTGTACTTGGGACATTGCGTACCTTGGACATTGTGTGCTTTCGACGTTCCGTACTTTGGACACTGTCTCATTTGGACGTTTTTTACTTTGGACATTATGAACCTCGGACATTTCGTACATTGGGGATTGTGTACTCTGTACATTGTGTACTTTGGAGATTGCGTACATTGGACATGATAAACACCTCCACGCTGGGCCATTTTGGAAGTTAGGTCTAATTTTGGACACACTTGGACATAATATAAAACAGCAGAATTTTTCCGTAAATCCGGCCGATTTTTCGCAAGTTTTGTAATTTCTGCCAGTCAGAGAGTCGAGACCCATATTTCAGCTCCGAAATAGTCTGATAGTGATATCTTAGGGCGATAGGGAATTATCACCCGCGCGTTCTCATTCTGCTATAAACACCGTCAATATCTGGCTTTGAACATTTGCTCAATTTCACTTCTTCATAGTTTTATTCTTTATTATACCGTTTTTGCGCCGACCACTCGCCTTCCATGGAGGACCCGAGCAAGCCTTCCTGCGAAGGCTGGTTAGGATACTTCATTGACTCAGAACTAAACGTTTCATATGTCCCACCAACACGCTGATACATCGAAAGTGAAAGTGACAATGCCACAAGAAAAGCGGTAGGAATTTTGCAAGAATCAGTGACTCGGGCGAACACGGCTGTCCTTCTTCACGATGGTGGGCGAAGCGGATGCTTTGAGCGCGCTCCGCCCAGAAGGGCCTCAGCACGCTGCCGGTGATTACGCTGGTTTCCATCTGGACGTGGCACGTGCCTCGTTCACCGCCCACGGGACAAGGTGCCACATTCTTCTGCAGTGTCGCCGGGGATGGCAGTGATAATGACGCTGGCACTGGGGCTGGCGCTAGACCTACAATAGCCTGGGGCTTTACAGCTGGCTGTGGCAGGGTTGGTGGTGTCCTGGCTTCGATCTCTGAGGTTTCTCCACGTTCTGGTAGTGGCGCCTCAAGGGGCGGTACCTGCGGCTCGACGCCTGTTCTTTGGGCGGCGCCCTTAGACGGCAGAGCGTCTAGAGCGTGCACCACGTGGTGGTCGTTAGTGTCCTCTTCGATGCTGCTGCTGCTCTCAAAGCCGAAGTAGCCGTTCGCCGACCTCATGACAGAAGACTGGATGGCGTGGTCCAGAACGTCATAGTACCGTACCGCTGTCGCGTAGTTGTGACGGCAGTGCCGGGCTGATTCAAGAGATGTGGTGTCCTTCAGGGCGCCCTGGGCCTCGCGGTGTGGGTGAGGAGCACATGATGGCGCCGTCCTCGGTAAGCCCGAACCACGTGGGCATAGTTAACGTGGGCGATGGTAGGGATATCAAACTGCAGCTGCGGTCGCCGGTAAATATAAACCAATGGAAGGAGGCGGTCGTTGTCCAACTCACCCTTGCTCCACAGGTGCTTGCGCAGGTATTTCAGAAAAGGCAGATTTTTTCCAGCTTGGCCGAGATGATGACACCGGTTCGTGAGTTTTTTTCTCATCTTTTTGTCTTTCCACCCGCATGGCTGATGATGAGTCCTTGCACGTCCGCTGCGCCCGACAGAATTCCTGCGGGATAACCTGACGGAAGAATCCTGCCCGTATTCCTGAGATGATTTCTGCTGCGACGTAGACCATCTGTCGCATGTATGCAAGGATGTGCAGTGCGCTGGCGTTTGTCGGCAGCCTGTCTTTTCCGCCATCGGTGACGCTGTTGAACTTTTTTTTCTACTTTCAACTGCTCTCCTCACCATAATTCGGGTCGTATGGTCCATGGTGACCTCTCCGATATGCTTTACTAAGCGGTCCGATTGCCTCTGGGCGAAAAGCTTCTCGTTGGCTTTAAGCACCGATCAAAGCAACGGCATCTTGAGCTGACTCTTCCACGCCATGTCGTTGGTAATCTCACCAAGCCTCTGGTGTATATAGGTGAGATAGACGCGCATGACACATGTCATACCCATGCCGACATCGGGCGATTGTTTTCAGGCCTCGTTCAGCGCCGTTCGGAGTCTATTGCAATGTGTCTCTGTTTCAACTTACTCATTTCACGACGGAGGTTCAGCGATAGAATGCTCGCCTGCCGTGCGGGCGGCCAGGGTTCCATTCCCGGCCGATGCACTTTTATTTATAAAATACTGCCGCTCACACCCGCAGTGGAATTGTCAACACAAGGGGAAGGGATATGTCACACCTCACCTTGCAAGTCGTGATCTTACAAGGTGTCTGTTTTGCATGATAATACACTCAGCACGCTTCGCAATTCGACAGCCTTCTTGGTTTCCGCCACCTGTCTGCGCAGCTCAGTGCGTCGGCCCCAAACGTGTTACAGCTAGTGTCAACTGACGCTCCACCGCTGAGGTTAGAGAAGAGTTGCACCACATTGCAAGATTGTGGACGAACAGCGAGCTACCAGTGGGCTGACGCAATACATCTTCGACGTCATGGATCATTAGGGCAAGAACTGCAACACTTACAACGCCACCCACACCGCTCCGTTGCAAGAATCCGTGAGAGAACTGATGACCAACGCGGATGCCAAAAAAACGTTCTGCTAAAAAGTACTGTAAATGCGATGCTTGTTTCCACGAATGCCGTGCTTCAGGACCTTCTCGAAAGTCCCGTGTCGCCAGGTGATATGGTATGCGGCCTCCATGTACTTTAAGAAAGCTCCCACACAGCGATGCTCTTTAAAAGCAGCAGGAAGAACAGTATCCAAGGTAAAAAGATGTCCAACATTTTACGGTGTTTCCAAAAACCCCTCCGAGATAGGGTCAAAATGGTTTGTTTCTCTAAAAACACGAATGATTACCATTGGTAAGTCTCAGATTACACGGTACACGTGTGAAATAGATGTATATGTTATGAAGTCGTAAGCAAGCTGCACGGAGAGGGGGGAAGTCCACTATACCGGCCTCATTGTGTGTCTCATGACACACAAACTGGCGATCTATGTCAATGCCCAGCTTATACTTTGTCTCCAGAGTGTTGCAGGTGGTAGACTCACCACTTGCGGGCGGGTGGGTGGGGGTGGGGGGGGGGGGGATGGCCGGTGGTAAAACGGGCATTGGGAGAGGGGCTGTGGGCCACCCAGAAGATTACAAATCGACAGCCGTCCTTTCTTGGATCTAAGTCTCATTCCACCCAAATGGTAAATAAAACTTGCGGCCACTGCCACTGTGAAGATACCAACAACCGAACACAACTGGCAGCATGCAGGTGTTTTCTTGACGCCGGGGGGGGGGGGGGGGGGACGAATCCCACGATGGCCAAACTGGTGCTCGAGAATGGCGAGGGGCGGGCAAAATCGCCGATTTGGGAAGTCGAGAGAATGAAACAACAGCACCATAGCTTACGCCATTCGCAATAGCATCGCAATAGCATCGCAATAATTCCGGGGAGAGAAATTGACCCCCAACTGCCGCCCCCCTTCAATACCCCCCCCCCCCCGCCCCCCACACGTTCCGTGATCCAATCCCACTTACACCAGGCATCGGTGGTTCAGTGGTAGAATGCTCGCCTGCCACGCGGGCGGCCCGGGTTCGATTCCCGGCCGATGCATGTTTGGCCGAGTTTGGCTCTGTTGGTTAATCCCACCACAAAACGTATGCGTTCCGCCCAACAACGCCACCCGTGTTACATGCTTATGTTTCGCGTTAAAGCCCCAGCTGCTACTGCACAAACCCACAACACTGTCGACGCTGCGGTGAAAGCTGATGCTTCCATCACCTGTCTGCGAAGGACAGTGATAGGTTAGATAGAAAGAAGCTATGGAGGGAATTTTTTCATATTTTAGGATACTGTAGCAAGCATCAGATACAATGAAACGAGCTCACTTATGACTATTTGTATGCTTGTTAAAGGGGATGTTTCATATTGAAAAATCTTTGGGCAAGATGTGATGAAACAAGCTTATTTATAATTTTTGGTATACTTCTTAGCGGAAAGGACTTCTCCAGACAGCACAATTTTCCGTTTAGTAGATGAAGTCTTTTATGTGTCACGGCTTAATTAGTTCATCGTAACTTAAACATTTATTTAGGGCAAGTTGACAGCCATTCTGGCTGGAAATCGTGCTAACGAATGTCGTAAAAATGTAAATAATGCGAAACATAAGCATATAACACGGGTGGCGTTGTTGGGCAGGACACACACGTTTGCGACAGGATTAATAACAAAGTCAAACTCGGCCAAACATGCATCGGCCGGGAATCGAACCCGGGCCGCCCCGCGTGGCAGGCGAGCATTCTACACTGAACCACCGATGCTTGATGTGCGTGGATTGGATCACGGAACATGGGGGGGGGGGGGGGGGGGGGGGGGGCGGGGGTATTGAAGGGGGGCGGCAGATGGGGGGTCAATTTCTCATCCCCGGAATTCTTGCGATGCCCGAATGGCGTAGCTATGGTGCGGTATGTCGATGATGTACAGTGATAAATGTAAATGAAAAAAATATGAGCGGCTCGACATTTTTTCTGCCTTTGTCGCTGCCTGGCTTACGGAATGACAAGATTTGAATGGCATTCTTATGACGTTACAAATGCTAAGGTGACTTTGAAATAATTCCCTATTTTTGCGGGCGCTTGGCTCAGGAACTAGAGTTGCTGGGGTCTTAAAAAGGGTAAAGATATACCACCACCTGTCTCAGCAGCGCAATGATAGGTCATAATATGAATAGGCCTTTAGGGGTATGTTTACAGTGGAACAAGCAGCAGATATATGGAAGAAGCTAATCTTTAACTATTGGTATACACTTTGAAGGGAATGATTCACATTTGAAAATGGTGAAACAAGCCGAAGATTTGGTGAAAGAAGTTGAAACAAAGTGAAACAGATGTGATGGAACAAGCTCGCTTGTGACTATTGGTATACTTTTAAGCGGAAAGGACTGCTCCAGATAGCACCATTCTCCGTTTAGTAGACATGCTACGCAATGCGTCATGGTTTTATTGTGTCATCGTACATTGCACTACATTGATTGAGAGCCAATTGACGGCCGCTTATGGACTTAAAATCGCGCTAACGAACGCAAGATATGAACGGCTAGACTCTTTTGTCTTAATTGCTGAATGGCTTATGACATGGCAGGATTTGAATGACGTTATTATAACGTCACAGGATCCAAGGTGACGTTGAAATACTTTCCCCAGTTTCGCGGGCGTTTAGCTCAGGAGCATAAGAGGCTTGGCCCTTAAGAAGGGCAGGATTGTTAACAGCACCTTAAGGTCTTCAGTTGGCTGTTTAACTCCAAAACCCCCACATAAATGTGGAGCACTTCTTTTAATATCCATTGCCTGCCAGTGCAGGCTTCATATCCGACAGACGAGAACACCTACAGCCTCTTCAGTGTCACCTACAGCCTCTTCGTGCGGCTTCCCTGCATCTTCCAAGAACTGCGTAGATTGAGCCTTGTCTTCTTTCGGAAGTGAACGCGGCAATAAGCTCATCATTAACTTCTTGCAGCTTTTCTAAAGCATGCTAAAGGTCAGAACTGATGAAAGTTAGCTCTGTTCTACTACCTCTACTGTCCATCCGCACGAAAATTCTTCTGCGAGCTCTTGCCAGGACACTGAGGAGCCTTCCGCGTTTCTGTTTCAACTCCTTAACCGACATTGTGGCCAGACGACAGACAAACAGTAGAGCGCAGAAACAATGAAAATAACGCAACAGTAGTGTGTTTCACCATTTCACGTACATGCCAGAATTTTAGGTTTCAGGAATGTTCTATTCACAAACAGAATCACAAGTTTCAGGAATGTTCAATCAAACACAGAAGCATGGAATCCATCTGAACCGCAATGCTGCATTGCCAACTCCTACCAAGTTCCCGCAACAGACTGTTGCCAGCAGGTTTTACAAAACTGAAACAATCCAGCAAATTGAAAAAAACTAAGTAAACCGATTTGCACAACAGCACTTGCTGGAGTAACAATATCACGCGACCTGTGCCACAGAAAAATGAGACAACATTAAAGCAGCAAACCACAATGCATACCCTTAACACACGAATGCGGGTCCCAACAATACTTCTTTAGTTTCCGAGCATGCATATGCACATAATCGCCTACGTGTGTTGCATTGAAGGTGGAAGGAAGTCGCAACTTAACCCGGCTCATAGGAGATAATTGGTTGCATGTTGG